AATAAATAACTCTTAAAAAAATAAAGGCAAAATCACTCTAAAAACTAGTCTGGCAGTTTCTCTATAAAAACTAAATAAGAGGCTGGCAGGTGGCATGGTGGTTTGGGTGCTGGACTCCCACATGGTTGACCATGGTTCAAGTACCAGACCTGGCAGCTTGCTTTCTCACTTTCTCTGTTTCTCTCTCTCTGGTGACTATGCATTCCCTGTAGCAAATTAAAGAATAATAAATAAATAAATAAAACCAAATAAATAATTCTTTAAAAAACAACTAAATAAGGGGCCATCAGATGGCATAGTGGTTACATAGCTGGACTCCCACATGGCTGACTATGATTTGAGTCCCAGACATGGTAAATAGTAAATAAAAAAGTAAGACCACTCTAAAAAGTAGCCTGGCAGTTTCTCTTAAAAAAGCTAAATAAGGGGCCAGCAGATGGCATAGCGATTACATTGCTGGAGTCCCACATGGCTGACCATAATTTGAATCTGGACCCAGTGGCTTGAAAATCACGTCAGCTGCATGAACATGTGTGCTCAAGATCCCAGGAGGGGAATGGAGGAGAAGGGATTCCAGCATGGCCATCCCCCTGGAGGGTGGTTTGTCACTTTCCCTTGCACTGTCTCTGTCTCTCTGTGTCTGGTTCTCTCTCTGGTGACCACACATACCTTGACACAAAAACCTCTTTTTTTTTTCTTTTTTTTTTGGAGAGTTTTTGCTATAGGGCACGTGTGCTCGCCAGACAGACAGAGAGAGAGGCAGAAAGTGAGAAATCACCCCCCAGGGGGGATGGCCACGCCGCAATCCCTTCTCCATTCTCCTCTTGGGATCTTGGGCACGCACGCACACGCGCCCAGCGTGAGTTTAAGCCATCAGGTTCGGGACTCGAACTGCGGTCGACTATGGGGGAGTCCGGTGACATAGCCATTATGCTAGCTGCTGGTCCCAAAAACCTCTTTTTTAAAAAGTTAGGTAAAAAAAGCTGGCCTCTTTGCCTAGTGGTTAAGGGAGCGAGATCCCATGTGGCCACTGTGGGGTTTGATCTGGGCCCCCAAAGGCTTAAAAAACATCCTGGGCACCTGTAGGAGTGTACTCCAAATTTCAACAGGATGGGGAAGTGGAGAAGGGAGTGACCACACTCTACTGGGGGTGCTTTCTCCCTCTCCCTCTCCTCTGTCTTCTTTCTCTCTCTGGTGAGCACACACCCTCTGGCAAATTAAAAGAAAAACAACTAAATCAATGCTGACTATACTATGCAGTGACATATTCTTGGGTATTATTTATTTATTTCAGGAAAATTAAAATTTACATCTACACAAAAACTGGCAAATGAATGTTTATAGCAGCTTCCTTTTAAAGAAAAAAACTACAAATAATCAAAATGTCCCTTAACAGATAAATGGATCAGTAAATTGTGTTACATCCAGACCATGAAATACTAAAGGAGATGGGGGTGGCTATCAGGTGGCATAGTGGTTTAGGTACTGAACTCCCACATAGCTGACTCTGGTTTCCAGTCTTGGATCTGGTGGCCTGAAAATCAAAACCTAAAAAAAAAAGGAACTATTGACATACACAGCCTGGATGGATCTGAAGTTCCAACGATTGCCTTTTTTCGTTCGAATTGAGATTTTCCTGATTCTTTGTAGAATAAATAATTTTTGACTGGTACCTGGACATTTTTGGCATTATGTTATGAGGGTGTGGATTGAATTTAAGTGGTTGATGCTAGCCTGTCTCCTCTGACACTGCTCTAGCAGAGAGATGGGGTGTTGCCTTGGTACTGCGGTGGGGGGGCTTGAAGTCCAGATTCTCCACTTGGCTTTCCTTGCATGGAGGTGGGGTGAGGGAGAGGAGAAGGGTAGAACGTTCCTCATTACTCAGGGTGGAGTGGGAGTTCCAGCTCCCAAGGATGCCTCCTCTGATCCTACCCTGAATAGGAGGACGGATGTTCTAGTCCCCATATGGCCTCCAGCGATACTGTGGGGGAAGTTTCCCTGTTACTGCTGTGTCGTGGTGAAAGTCTTGACTGTGAGGCCTCCTCTATCATGACCCCATCTTGGAGATCGGCCTGTCCTCTTCCCACTAGGTAGGGGTAGTCAGGGCTCCCCATGTGATTTCTATCGACACCGTGTGGTGGTGAGCCTCATTACTACCAGCAGTGATGAAGGACCTAGCTCCCTACTTGGCTTCTCTGCCACCACCCCGGGATGGTCCACCTCCGTTCAACTGGGAGAGAGTAGAAGTCTAGGTTTATCCACTCAGGTTATTTTATTTATTTATTTATTTATTTATTTATTTATTTATTTATTTTTGTGGATGTGTATGACTATAATTTGTTGTTGTTTTGTTGTTTTCCCTGTGTCATTTGAGCAAAGTGATCATTGTCTAAAATTGTCTGTCTTGGGGCTGGATGACGGTGTAACAGTGAAAGATGATGCTCTGTGAGGCAGACCTTACATGAGAAGGCTCTGGGCTGTCCACCAGAGTCCTGAGACCTCCTTGAGTACACCGGGCATGCGTGTGCCCATGATCTGAGCTGGCTGAAGCTGGGGGGAGGGGGGTGGATTGCAGTATCAAAATCTTGTTGGGAATCTCTCTGTGTCTCTATCTCTTAAAATAAATATATCAAACCTAAAACAATATAAAAGAAAATGTTTTGTCTTGCTATTCCATCTCTTTCTTCTGGCTAGAGAGGGCAGATTTTTCTCGGAACTCGGTATGTCTGCACCCATTGTGTTTCCAGATCGCTGGCTTCTCCAGTCTGGGATGCGTGAGCAAAAAGGAAGCCCAGGGAGTTGATGGCAGTGTCACTCCTCAGGTTCTGAGGGCTATGCCTGGTTTGCTTCCTTCTCTTCACCATTCAGGGTGCTCTTATGTTTGTTTTATATAATGCCCAGAGTTTTAACCTGTACTTAGCAAGATGAATCAAGAAAAGTACACTTACTTTATTTTCTGGAAGTGGAAGTTGCCATTAAATTTTAGGTTTTTACTATACTCCCTGACTTCTCAGATCTATGGCACAGCTAAGTGGAAATTTACTATTTGTATTTCTTTTTTGCAGGCAGACATCAAATCCTTCGCTGCATGGGCAACAGTGGAATCTGTAGAAACTCCTGCAAAAGGGATGAACAGCCCTACTTCAACTGCAGAAATTACCAATCATGCTGCCTCCAGTCCTACATGAGGATAAGCATTTCTGGCAGTGACGAAAATAGTGACTGGTCCTATAAGAACCAATGGCCCAAAATACCTTGAATGCTAGTGGTCACCATTCTCAAGCTCTCTGGGAAGCCAATCTTCCTGTCAATTCCTCTCAGTAAAACTCATGACTATGCCACACTTGTCTGTCTTTTAGTCACTGGAAATCACAATGAGAAATTGGTTTTTGCGTGTAAGATATCCGTTCCATTCTGGATGTACCCTCGAGAGAGGGAGCTTTCACAGCCCTCGCAAACTGGAATAGGGCTGGCAGGTGGTGTGGTGGTTGGGGCACTAGATTTCCACCGGGCCAACTACAGTTCAAATCCCAGACCTGACGGCTTGCTTTCTCACTTTCCATTTCTTTCTCTCTCTCTCTCATCAAATTAAAAAATAAATAATAACAAATTAAATTAAATAATAAATAATTCTTAAAAAAAAAAAAAAGAAACTTGACAACTCAGTGAAGATGGAGGTAGATAGTGGTGAAAAAAGCATTTGAATCCAGTGAGGGAAAGTTGAAGGGTTTAGACAGAGTCCTGGCTTGGTTTTTGCCATGTAGAGAATTCACAGGGGGAACAGAACCAGTGGGATGACTACATAGAGTGTTGGGTGGAGGTCTTGTTACTTAGTTCATGGAAGAACTTCTTAATGATCAAAGAGGTTGTAACATGGATAAACATTCTTATTAAATTTTCAAGTTTTAAGGTGGGGGGGTCTTTTCAGGTGTTTAGTGAAGAAGGAATTTGAATATTGGAGAATTGTTGCTAATTGTTGAGGTCCTTTAATTGTTAAAAATTTAGAAGCCTGTGCCCCAATTATAATCAACATCAGCTTTTTATCATAAAATTTCCATTTTACTTTTCAAGTCTTCTTATCAATATTTTATTCTTTCTTCCTTCATCTTTGGTTCTAAATTTTGTCAAAAGGAGAGTAGCTGCAGTTGCCCACTGTCTTTTTCTGACTCCTCAAATCATTACAGTTTGCTTTAGTGCTTAATTGTACTATCAAACTGGCTCTGGTCAAAGCTACCGGTGAATTTTCTTTCTGAAAGGGTCAGGATGATGCTCAACTTGTGTCTCCTTCTGTCTCTGGGTAGCATTTTCACCATAATTTCTTCTCTCTTCAAAAATCTTAACTTGCTTGACTTTTGACTTTTCCTCTTTTTTAAAAATTATTTTTTACTTTCAGTTAATCACTATACATCTTTATAGTGTGCAACATATTTTTTTCCCAGCATGAATATGGTGCATAGTTGTCAAGTCAAAGATATTACCATATATGTATTATCACCAATGGATAACTTTTCATTTTTGTGGCTACTAAATGTTTCATTTGCCTTTTTTCCTGTTCTCCTCCTCCCACCCACTATTTCCTCCCCACCCCCATAACCTACTCCCTTCTATACTGTCTCTAGTATCTATAGTTTGTCTCCTTGCAATTATACCTTCCAATCTTTCTGGGTCTTCCATAGAGTGCAGACAATCGGTGTGCAGTAGGTGGGGACATACAATGCCTGTCTCCCATAGCTTGTCTTGCTTTGCTTAGCATTAAATCTTACATATTTGCCCACTTTATATCAAATGTCAGGGTCTCATTGTTTTTTATGGCTGAGTAGTATTCCATAGCGTACATGTACCACATTTTTTCAATCCACTCTTCTGTTCTTAGACATTTGGGTTGATTCTATGTCCTGGCGATTGTGAAAAATGGTGTAGTAATCATGAATGTGCAAGTGTTTTTCCAAGTGTTTTCCTATCCTTTGGGTAGATACGTAAGAGTAGTATTACTGGGTAGTATGGCGGTTCTCTTTGTAGGTTTGTGAGGAACCTCCACATTGTTCTCTACAATCTTTGTTTTCCTCTTAACTTTTAAGCTACTCCTTTTCTATCACCTTGTGGGGTTCCAAAACCAGAAGTTTTTTGTCCGACTGCATTTCTCTAGGATCACTCTTCTCTGAGAACAAAAATCTCCACATTCCTAGGAAAAGGTCAATTGTTCTCTAGCCATTACAGCAAGGAAATACTTAAAGATGTTTTAGACATTTTTCACCAACCAATGACAACTTATGTGAATGAACGTCTGAAAGCAAATTATTAGTGACAACATTATGTGTTGAGGTGATTTCCCAATCAGCTCTGGGTTCATTTTAGTGTACACACTTCTAAGTTGTCATCAACCCATTCCCACATTTGTAACTAATACAACACCTTCCATATGCTTCTCCTTAATGCTATGGAGGAAGATCAATAGTTGTCTATTTAATGAGCCTATGTCAGTCCAGAATGGCTCTCCTGTAAAACACATTTCAGCATTTTGGTTTTAGACATTGAGTGATGGTTTTATCCTTTGACAATGATCGTTTCTCCTTCTTTAGTCCCATCATCTATCTCCCTCACAACAACAAAATTTATTATCTGAAGAATTATTGGTTCTGAATCTGTTTCAGAAACAATATTGGCCTAAGAACCCACTCTAACTCTCCCATTGAGAACAATTTTAAAACTTAGTTAAAATATGCAACAAAGGGCATGCTGGTGGCAGGGTGGTTAGGTGGCTGGATTCACATGAAAGACTGCATGGTTCGAGTCCCAGACCCAGTGGCTTGAAAAACACAGCAGGAGTGTGTGTGGATGTCCAAAATCCAGAAAGGAGAAATGGAAGAGAAGGGATTGTGGCATGACCATCTTCTATGGGGAGTTGCTTTCTTACTGTCTCTATCTCACTCTCTCTTTCTCTCTGGTGAGCACATGTGTCCCCTAACAAATTAAATAATAATAATAAAGCAACGAAACTTCTTAAGCATTCTTTTTATTTTTGGAGAGTTTTTTGTTTGTTTGTTTTTGTTTACTATAGGGTGCATGTGCTCACCAGAAAGTCAGAGAGAGATAGAGAGACAGAAAGCAAGAAATCATCCCCCAGGGGGATCGCTATGTTGCAATCCCTTCTCCTTCATTGTCCTCTCGGTATCTTGGGCATGCATGCACACACGCCCGGTGTGAGTTTAAGCCAGGTCTAGGACTCGAACCGTGGTCCACTACATGAGAGTCCAGCAACACAGCCATTATGCCATCTGCTGGTCCCAAGCATTCTTGACTTTGTGACCAAGTAAAGCCAAGAATATTAAGGCCACTGAAGCAGGTACTCTTCTGAAGGCAGAAACTGAGGTGGCCTTTGTCTTGAAGGCATTCGCTAAATCAGATAAACTTATGTTTCAATTTCTATGGCTCTGGAGGGTGGGGATGGGCAGGGGAGAGGAGACAGTGCTTAAGATCTGTAAAAATGTGAGTCTTGTAGGAGACTCGCACATAATTCTCAATCTGAAAGTTACATAATCTGTGTAAGGATAAATCAGAAGCAATATTTCTTCTTCAACAGCCTTTCAGTGACTTTTATTTCAAACTCAAAGTAAATAAGAGAAAAAAGGCAGACCTCATAGCTCACACCTGGGCAGCCACTTCCCTGCAGTGTGATATGACAGGGCTTCAGGGCCAAAGTTCATTAGGAAAGTGGGTGCATTTACGTATCTGAAAGGTACCTCCTGTTCTACAATGAAAGCTTTTAGTGCCCTAGTAGCTACACTCACAAATGCATTTATTTATTTATTTATTTATTTATTTATTTATTTATTTATTTTTGTGGATGTGTATGACTATAATTTGTTGTTGTTTTGTTGTTTTCCCTGTGTCATTTGAGCAAAGTGATCATTGTCTAAAATTGTCTGTCTTGGGGCTGGATGACGGTGTAACAGTGAAAGATGATGCTCTGTGAGGCAGACCTTACATGAGAAGGCTCTGGGCTGTCCACCAGAGTCCTGAGACCTCCTTGAGTACACCGGGCATGCGTGTGCCCATGATCTGAGCTGGCTGAAGCTGGGGGGAGGGGGGTGGATTGCAGTATCAAAATCTTGTTGGGAATCTCTCTGTGTCTCTATCTCTTAAAATAAATATATCAAACCTAAAACAATATAAAAGAAAATGTTTTGTCTTGCTATTCCATCTCTTTCTTCTGGCTAGAGAGGGCAGATTTTTCTCGGAACTCGGTATGTCTGCACCCATTGTGTTTCCAGATCGCTGGCTTCTCCAGTCTGGGATGCGTGAGCAAAAAGGAAGCCCAGGGAGTTGATGGCAGTGTCACTCCTCAGGTTCTGAGGGCTATGCCTGGTTTGCTTCCTTCTCTTCACCATTCAGGGTGCTCTTATGTTTGTTTTATATAATGCCCAGAGTTTTAACCTGTACTTAGCAAGATGAATCAAGAAAAGTACACTTACTTTATTTTCTGGAAGTGGAAGTTGCCATTAAATTTTAGGTTTTTACTATACTCCCTGACTTCTCAGATCTATGGCACAGCTAAGTGGAAATTTACTATTTGTATTTCTTTTTTGCAGGCAGACATCAAATCCTTCGCTGCATGGGCAACAGTGGAATCTGTAGAAACTCCTGCAAAAGGGATGAACAGCCCTACTTCAACTGCAGAAATTACCAATCATGCTGCCTCCAGTCCTACATGAGGATAAGCATTTCTGGCAGTGACGAAAATAGTGACTGGTCCTATAAGAACCAATGGCCCAAAATACCTTGAATGCTAGTGGTCACCATTCTCAAGCTCTCTGGGAAGCCAATCTTCCTGTCAATTCCTCTCAGTAAAACTCATGACTATGCCACACTTGTCTGTCTTTTAGTCACTGGAAATCACAATGAGAAATTGGTTTTTGCGTGTAAGATATCCGTTCCATTCTGGATGTACCCTCGAGAGAGGGAGCTTTCACAGCCCTCGCAAACTGGAATAGGGCTGGCAGGTGGTGTGGTGGTTGGGGCACTAGATTTCCACCGGGCCAACTACAGTTCAAATCCCAGACCTGACGGCTTGCTTTCTCACTTTCCATTTCTTTCTCTCTCTCTCTCTCTCTCTCTCATCAAATTAAAAAATAAATAATAACAAATTAAATTAAATAATAAATAATTCTTAAAAAAAAAAAAAAGAAACTTGACAACTCAGTGAAGATGGAGGTAGATAGTGGTGAAAAAAGCATTTGAATCCAGTGAGGGAAAGTTGAAGGGTTTAGACAGAGTCCTGGCTTGGTTTTTGCCATGTAGAGAATTCACAGGGGGAACAGAACCAGTGGGATGACTACATAGAGTGTTGGGTGGAGGTCTTGTTACTTAGTTCATGGAAGAACTTCTTAATGATCAAAGAGGTTGTAACATGGATAAACATTCTTATTAAATTTTCAAGTTTTAAGGTGGGGGGGTCTTTTCAGGTGTTTATTGAAGAAGGAATTTGAATATTGGAGAATTGTTGCTAATTGTTGAGGTCCTTTAATTGTTAAAAATTTAGAAGCCTGTGCCCCAATTATAATCAACATCAGCTTTTTATCATAAAATTTCCATTTTACTTTTCAAGTCTTCTTATCAATATTTTATTCTTTCTTCCTTCATCTTTGGTTCTAAATTTTGTCAAAAGGAGAGTAGCTGCAGTTGCCCACTGTCTTTTTCTGACTCCTCAAATCATTACAGTTTGCTTTAGTGCTTAATTGTACTATCAAACTGGCTCTGGTCAAAGCTACCGGTGAATTTTCTTTCTGAAAGGGTCAGGATGATGCTCAACTTGTGTCTCCTTCTGTCTCTGGGTAGCATTTTCACCATAATTTCTTCTCTCTTCAAAAATCTTAACTTGCTTGACTTTTGACTTTTCCTCTTTTTTAAAAATTATTTTTTACTTTCAGTTAATCACTATACATCTTTATAGTGTGCAACATATTTTTTTCCCAGCATGAATATGGTGCATAGTTGTCAAGTCAAAGATATTACCATATATGTATTATCACCAATGGATAACTTTTCATTTTTGTGGCTACTAAATGTTTCATTTGCCTTTTTTCCTGTTCTCCTCCTCCCACCCACTATTTCCTCCCCACCCCCATAACCTACTCCCTTCTATACTGTCTCTAGTATCTATAGTTTGTCTCCTTGCAATTATACCTTCCAATCTTTCTGGGTCTTCCATAGAGTGCAGACAATCGGTGTGCAGTAGGTGGGGACATACAATGCCTGTCTCCCATAGCTTGTCTTGCTTTGCTTAGCATTAAATCTTACATATTTGCCCACTTTATATCAAATGTCAGGGTCTCATTGTTTTTTATGGCTGAGTAGTATTCCATAGCGTACATGTACCACATTTTTTCAATCCACTCTTCTGTTCTTAGACATTTGGGTTGATTCTATGTCCTGGCGATTGTGAAAAATGGTGTAGTAATCATGAATGTGCAAGTGTTTTTCCAAGTGTTTTCCTATCCTTTGGGTAGATACGTAAGAGTAGTATTACTGGGTAGTATGGCGGTTCTCTTTGTAGGTTTGTGAGGAACCTCCACATTGTTCTCTACAATCTTTGTTTTCCTCTTAACTTTTAAGCTACTCCTTTTCTATCACCTTGTGGGGTTCCAAAACCAGAAGTTTTTTGTCCGACTGCATTTCTCTAGGATCACTCTTCTCTGAGAACAAAAATCTCCACATTCCTAGGAAAAGGTCAATTGTTCTCTAGCCATTACAGCAAGGAAATACTTAAAGATGTTTTAGACATTTTTCACCAACCAATGACAACTTATGTGAATGAACGTCTGAAAGCAAATTATTAGTGACAACATTATGTGTTGAGGTGATTTCCCAATCAGCTCTGGGTTCATTTTAGTGTACACACTTCTAAGTTGTCATCAACCCATTCCCACATTTGTAACTAATACAACACCTTCCATATGCTTCTCCTTAATGCTATGGAGGAAGATCAATAGTTGTCTATTTAATGAGCCTATGTCAGTCCAGAATGGCTCTCCTGTAAAACACATTTCAGCATTTTGGTTTTAGACATTGAGTGATGGTTTTATCCTTTGACAATGATCGTTTCTCCTTCTTTAGTCCCATCATCTATCTCCCTCACAACAACAAAATTTATTATCTGAAGAATTATTGGTTCTGAATCTGTTTCAGAAACAATATTGGCCTAAGAACCCACTCTAACTCTCCCATTGAGAACAATTTTAAAACTTAGTTAAAATATGCAACAAAGGGCATGCTGGTGGCAGGGTGGTTAGGTGGCTGGATTCACATGAAAGACTGCATGGTTCTGACAACTTGAAAACCATGCTAGGTGTCTGTGTGTGGATGTCCAAAATCCAGAAAGGAGAAATGGAAGAGAAGGGATTGTGGCATGACCATCTTCTATGGGGAGTTGCTTTCTTACTGTCTCTATCTCACTCTCTCTTTCTCTCTGGTGAGCACATGTGTCCCCTAACAAATTAAATAATAATAATAAAGCAACGAAACTTCTTAAGCATTCTTGCCCACTGTCTTTTTCTGACTCCTCAAATCATTACAGTTTGCTTTAGTGCTTAATTGTACTATCAAACTGGCTCTGGTCAAAGCTACCGGTGAATTTTCTTTCTGAAAGGGTCAGGATGATGCTCAACTTGTGTCTCCTTCTGTCTCTGGGTAGCATTTTCACCATAATTTCTTCTCTCTTCAAAAATCTTAACTTGCTTGACTTTTGACTTTTCCTCTTTTTTAAAAATTATTTTTTACTTTCAGTTAATCACTATACATCTTTATAGTGTGCAACATATTTTTTTCCCAGCATGAATATGGTGCATAGTTGTCAAGTCAAAGATATTACCATATATGTATTATCACCAATGGATAACTTTTCATTTTTGTGGCTACTAAATGTTTCATTTGCCTTTTTTCCTGTTCTCCTCCTCCCACCCACTATTTCCTCCCCACCCCCATAACCTACTCCCTTCTATACTGTCTCTAGTATCTATAGTTTGTCTCCTTGCAATTATACCTTCCAATCTTTCTGGGTCTTCCATAGAGTGCAGACAATCGGTGTGCAGTAGGTGGGGACATACAATGCCTGTCTCCCATAGCTTGTCTTGCTTTGCTTAGCATTAAATCTTACATATTTGCCCACTTTATATCAAATGTCAGGGTCTCATTGTTTTTTATGGCTGAGTAGTATTCCATAGCGTACATGTACCACATTTTTTCAATCCACTCTTCTGTTCTTAGACATTTGGGTTGATTCTATGTCCTGGCGATTGTGAAAAATGGTGTAGTAATCATGAATGTGCAAGTGTTTTTCCAAGTGTTTTCCTATCCTTTGGGTAGATACGTAAGAGTAGTATTACTGGGTAGTATGGCGGTTCTCTTTGTAGGTTTGTGAGGAACCTCCACATTGTTCTCTACAATCTTTGTTTTCCTCTTAACTTTTAAGCTACTCCTTTTCTATCACCTTGTGGGGTTCCAAAACCAGAAGTTTTTTGTCCGACTGCATTTCTCTAGGATCACTCTTCTCTGAGAACAAAAATCTCCACATTCCTAGGAAAAGGTCAATTGTTCTCTAGCCATTACAGCAAGGAAATACTTAAAGATGTTTTAGACATTTTTCACCAACCAATGACAACTTATGTGAATGAACGTCTGAAAGCAAATTATTAGTGACAACATTATGTGTTGAGGTGATTTCCCAATCAGCTCTGGGTTCATTTTAGTGTACACACTTCTAAGTTGTCATCAACCCATTCCCACATTTGTAACTAATACAACACCTTCCATATGCTTCTCCTTAATGCTATGGAGGAAGATCAATAGTTGTCTATTTAATGAGCCTATGTCAGTCCAGAATGGCTCTCCTGTAAAACACATTTCAGCATTTTGGTTTTAGACATTGAGTGATGGTTTTATCCTTTGACAATGATCGTTTCTCCTTCTTTAGTCCCATCATCTATCTCCCTCACAACAACAAAATTTATTATCTGAAGAATTATTGGTTCTGAATCTGTTTCAGAAACAATATTGGCCTAAGAACCCACTCTAACTCTCCCATTGAGAACAATTTTAAAACTTAGTTAAAATATGCAACAAAGGGCATGCTGGTGGCAGGGTGGTTAGGTGGCTGGATTCACATGAAAGACTGCATGGTTCGAGTCCCAGACCCAGTGGCTTGAAAAACACAGCAGGAGTGTGTGTGGATGTCCAAAATCCAGAAAGGAGAAATGGAAGAGAAGGGATTGTGGCATGACCATCTTCTATGGGGAGTTGCTTTCTTACTGTCTCTATCTCACTCTCTCTTTCTCTCTGGTGAGCACATGTGTCCCCTAACAAATTAAATAATAATAATAAAGCAACGAAACTTCTTAAGCATTCTTTTTATTTTTGGAGAGTTTTTTGTTTGTTTGTTTTTGTTTACTATAGGGTGCATGCGCTCACCAGAAAGTCAGAGAGAGATAGAGAGACAGAAAGCAAGAAATCATCCCCCAGGGGGATCGCTATGTTGCAATCCCTTCTCCTTCATTGTCCTCTCGGTATCTTGGGCATGCATGCACACACGCCCGGTGTGAGTTTAAGCCAGGTCTAGGACTCGAACCGTGGTCCACTACATGAGAGTCCAGCAACACAGCCATTATGCCATCTGCTGGTCCCAAGCATTCTTGACTTTGTGACCAAGTAAAGCCAAGAATATTAAGGCCACTGAAGCAGGTACTCTTCTGAAGGCAGAAACTGAGGTGGCCTTTGTCTTGAAGGCATTCGCTAAATCAGATAAACTTATGTTTCAATTTCTATGGCTCTGGAGGGTGGGGATGGGCAGGGGAGAGGAGACAGTGCTTAAGATCTGTAAAAATGTGAGTCTTGTAGGAGACTCGCACATAATTCTCAATCCTGAAAGTTACATAATCTGTGTAAGGATAAATCAGAAGCAATATTTCTTCTTCAACAGCCTTTCAGTGACTTTTATTTCAAACTCAAAGTAAATAAGAGAAAAAAGGCAGACCTCATAGCTCACACCTGGGCAGCCACTTCCCTGCAGTGTGATATGACAGGGCTTCAGGGCCAAAGTTCATTAGGAAAGTGGGTGCATTTACGTATCTGAAAGGTACCTCCTGTTCTACAATGAAAGCTTTTAGTGCCCTAGTAGCTACACTCACAAATGCAAAGATTTATTTATTTATTTATTTATTTATTTATTTATTTATTTATTTTTGTAGAGGGTTTTGCCCTAGGGCTTGTGCAGAAAGACAGAGATAGTGAAAGGAAAACTGAGAAATCACTCTCCAGGGGAGATGGCCACTCTGTAATCCCTTCTCCTCCACTCTCCTCCTGGGATCTTGGGCACACATACACATGCACCCAGCATAAATTTTAAGCCACCGAGTTTGGGACTTGAACAGCGGTCGGCCATATGGGAGTCCAGTGACAGAACTGCTATAGCATCTGCTGGTTCCAAAATTTAAAATTTTGATTTTGATGACATATGCTGTCATCAAGAGGCAGGATTAATACAGGGGTGACTCTGTTATCCCAAAACACCTATTGGGAAGGCCGAGAATACATGGAAAGTTTAGTGGTGGAATACTTAGTAAGTCATTAAGGCTGCGCGTGGGTCACCTGCAGAGAAGGAACTTTAGAAATAGGTTAAAACATTTCGAGAAGAGCTCTGAAGAATTTATCATTAGAAATAGTGAAAATTTTAGACCTTAGCTGTTTTTAACTAGAATTACATATTGGTGGAGGGTGAGGGTGGGTCATTGTGGTGTTGACAGCGCTTTATAGGACTTAGTCTACCGTTCTGAGGACCTTGGGTGAGTGACATCTGGGAAGTCATGTACTACGGTGGACCTCTGGGACAGAGATCTGAGTTCCCAGAGTTAGGTCAGTTTCTTCATCCTCTTCTTCCTCGGTGTTCACTTTAAATGAGGTTACATAGGGCTTAAGTGTTAGAATTATATCTATAACGCCTGTTGCAAGGTCGTACAGTGGTGTGGGAGATGTAGAAAGTTGCACTTTGACTCTATTGGGTGGTACACAGCAGACTCGATGGGTTTTGCACATTTTTTGTATTACTTCTCCATCTTTGCATTGTTTCCTGCAGGACCCCAAGTTGTTCCAGCATTTCTGTCCACCACCGTAGGCTGAATAATAAAAAGGAAGACCACTGATTTTAGGTTATGGATGCTATCAGTTTTAGTATCATGGGTCATAATTAGACTATGGCTAGAAGAGTCCCAGCTTAGGTCTGCTAAATGTTATGTTTCTAAAAATATCTGTTCCTGACCTCCTTACCCATTTTTAACTTTTCCGCAAGTGAGATGAATCTTACCATCAGTGAAAAGAAAATCATTAGTCATAAGGAATGGGGGCAGTAAAATGAAGCTACCTGGGCCTGTGTAAAGCTGAACATATAAAGAAAGTTCATCTGGGGACAATAGATGGCATAACAGTTCAAGACCCAGACCCTGCATCTTAAAACTCATACCAGGCACGTGTTTGCGCGTGGACAAAATCCCAAGAGGAGAATGGAGGAGAAGGGATTGTGATGTGGCCATTTCTCCTGGGGGGTGGTTTCTTGCTTTCTCTTTCTCTCTCTCTCTTTCACTGTCTTTCCAGAAAGGGCACGTGCCCTATAGTAAAAAACTCTAAAAAAAAAAAGTTCATCTGTCTTTGCTGATATTGAGGTAGAATATTTACATTGGTCATACCCCATGTAGTTAAATTTCTTTGCATACAGCCCATTGCAAAATATACATTCGAATGTGTATGGATTGAATGTTCATTACCCAAAATGCTTCTGGACTAGAAATGTTTTGGATTTCAGGTTTTTTCAGGTTTTTTAATATTTGAATATTCATAATATTCTTAGGTTTGGGATCCAAGTCTCTACATGAAATTCGTTTATGTTCATATATACCTTATTAACATAGCCTGAAGGTAATTTTCTTTTATTTTCTCTTTTTATTTGAGAGGTTTTTGCTATAGGGCATGTGTGCTAGCCAGAAAGACAAAGAGAGACAGAGAGACAGAAAGCAAGAAATCAACCCCTAGGGGGGATGGCCATGCTGCAATCCCTTCTCCTCCATTCTCCTCTCAGGATCTTGGTTACGCATGTACAAGTGCCCAGCGTGAGTTTAAGCCACGGGGTCCAGGACTCGAACCACAGTCAACTACATGTGAGTCCAGTGACATAGACATTACGCCAACTGCTGATTCCAGCCTAAGATAATTTTAAATAATATTTTTGTATTGCAGCATTTTGACTGTGACCTGTCACATGAGATTAGGTGTAGAATTTTCTACATGTTAACTCATGTCAGTGCTCAAAAACTGATAGATTTTAGAGCACTTAGAATTTGTACTTTAGGGGGCCAGCAGGTGGTGTGGTGGTTAAGGGCACTGAATTCCTGCATGGCCGATCGTGGTTTGAGTCCTGGACCTGGTGGTTTGCTTTCTCACTTTCCCTCTTTCTCTCTCTTTCTCGTTCTGTTCCTCTCTGGACAAATCAAAATAAATAAATAAATTTAAATAAAATAATTCTTTAAAAAATAATTTGTGTTTTAGGATTAGGGATGCTTGACCTGTATATAAAATGTATCTGTGTAGTTTAAAGACTAATAATAAAATGAATACCCAGGTATCTGCATCCTAATTAAGAAACAGAACACTTTTTGATCCTCAGAATTGTGTAGATATTTCTAGGTGATAGGCTTTATTTGCTTGGGTATTAGGTCAATGCTTCTTACACTTTAATGTGCATATGAGTCATGCGGAAGTCTTGTTAAAAGGAAGATTCTGATTCAGTTGGTAGGGCAGGACCCAAATTTCTGCTTCTCTAACAAATCTCTGGGTGATGCCTATACAGTTAGTCCATGGACGTACGTTTCTGAACAAAATGTTAGGCCATTAAAAAAAAAAAAAACCAATGACTTGATAAGTTCCATGTGCTCAATATCAGCCATTCTGTGTTTTCTAATAAACTGCAATAAAATTAGAATAAAAATCCCTTATATTGGGAAAGTAAATAACATGATAAAGAGAGTCTGGACAGTGGGAAATCAGTAATACAATGCCTTCTGAGGCTGACTCACACAGGAAGGTTCTGGCTGTGTGTCTGAAGACCTTCCGGAACATGCCAGATACATGCGTCCCCATGATCTCGAGCTGGCTAGAGTTGAAGGTGAATTGAAGCATGGGGATCCTGTTAGGGGTAACTACGCTCTCTTGCTCATGGAAAAAAGAAACTTATAAAAGTAAGATGATAAAGAATAAATCTTAGGGAAGTAACAGGTGGCAGAGTGGTTGGGGCGTTGGACTCCCATGTGGTTGACCACAGTTCGATTCCAGATCTGCCGGCTTGCTTTCTCACTTTCCCTTTTTTCTGTCTCTGT